TGGGTTTCATATGGGCCAGATGTGGGCTGACCACAAAAGGAAGCCAGCATGGGGGCGCCTTAGGCCTCCTCTGAGAGTGTGTCTTGGAGGCGCAAAAGGCCTCAGCACAGAGAATCCAAAGATTCCTTGGGGCTGCGGAAGGACTAAGCAACCAGCCCAACTAGAAATGCGCAGAACTCACAGAGGCCCTGCAGGTGAGAGGTTCCCGGTGACAGCAGATGGTCTCTAAAGAACCTACAATTAGGCTCGGCGCCTATAGCTCAACCGGCTAAGGCGCCAGCCACATACACCTAAGGTGGCGGGTTCGAATCCCCAGCCCGGACCCGCCAAACAACAATGATGGCTGCAACCAAAAAATAGCCGGGCGTTGTGGCGGGCGCCTGTGGTCCCAGCTACTTGGGAGGCGGAGGCAAGAGACTCGCTTGAGCCCGGGAGTTGGAGGTTGCTGTGAGCTGTAATGCCACGGCACTCTACCCAGGGGGACAGCTTGAGGCTCTGTCTCAAAAAAAAAAAAAAAAAAAAAAAGAACCTACAATTATCTGAGATTTTAATGCCATCATCAGACATCTGCCATGCTGCCAGCATGACATCCTCTTCCCACGGGGCTGCAGTTTCTAGTCTAGAAGAACTCCCCACCCTCCTGGCCTCTTCTCTCTCCAGTCTCAAGGATGGAGGAAAGAGAAATCAGAAGTAGCTAAAGGGAAACTTTCCAGCTTTTGGAGTGCAGGAGACCACAGCTGGGGGAAGGAGTGAAAGTCTTTTCTTTGAATGAAGACTAGAAATTCAATTTGCACACGGGCTGGGTGATTTTGTTTGAGACTATATTTGCCACAGAAAGTGCTTAAGGTATATTCTGTTTTCCAAGAAAAGCCATCAGACTGTCCAAATGTCCATCTAGGGACAGGGGGCAGGGGGAAGGAAGTGAATAAACACTCAGAGACAATTTAAAGAAGCGTGGGGGTCTGAAGCTGATCTCTGGTTTCGTCCATAGAGTGGGGCTTGTTTGAAGTCAGGCTGTACATGGTGTCCTGAGGCTGGGCCTGCCACGTTAGGGTGGCTCGGTGGAGACAGTCGGAACCAGCCAGGTCTCTCCTCCTCTTCTCCACAGTAAACAGCCGCCACTGGGCATGGAGACACTTGGCAAAGAGCTATATCCCTCGGGCCTTGGCACAGGTCGGAACGGTCACCTGACGGAAGTGATGTGTCCATAGCCCTGAAACGGCAGGAGGACATCTACACTCTCTTCTCCTACCCTCCAGCTGGACCTGAATGTCACCATGCAGATGGTGACAGGATCCTAGAGATAGAGGAGCCCGAAGATGAAGAAGCCCGGGTGCCTGAATGACCGAGTAGGGCAGAGGGCTTTTCCATGCAGAAGTCAGTTCCCCCGCTACAGTGGCTCAGCCTTTCACTGTGGATGGTAAGGCACCCCATCCACTGGGCTCTCTGAACCACACTCAGACATGGCACCCCCACCTCAGCTGGCTTCTAGCCCAGCTCTGCCTCATCCTGGCTGTGCAACCTCGGACAAGTGACTTTGCCTCTCTGATTTCCATTCCCTCTTAGTAAAGAGGGATTCATAACCCTTTCACAAGGTTTTGCCCTGAGCAGTCAATGAGGGGATGCAGCAAAAAGGCCAGCACGGTGCTTGGTGCAGTGTTAAGGTCTTCATGGAAGGTCAGCTCCGCCCCCTTCCCCCATTCCTGGCAGCTGAGCCCCTGGCAGGCCTCCCGTCAGCCCCCACCGGGCTGTGACGCAGGCTGAAGTTTTTCTTTTGAGTTAAGTGACAGGTTCAGGGAGGCGAAACAGAGCAAGCACTGGGAGTTCACAGCACAGAATTCTCTGAACTCAGATCCCCAGTGCTCCCTTCCTAGGGCTGGCGATTAGCAGGCTGTCTTGGGCTTGTCTCTGAGTGGTCTCACTGTGAGGGGAATTTTCCTACAGTCTTATTGTAGCGTCTGTGCCAGGACTAAGGAGACATTGACCAGGAAGTCCTTCTCCTCTGTTGCAGTGGCTGTGGCTTTTAACCCCTCTCCAGGATGAGAACTGGGATGCAGGGACTGCGGCCGGCCAGGCTGGGGCTGGGGCAAGCGTGTTCTGCTTAGCAATGGTTGGAATGTTGTGGATTATGCAACAGGAATACTAATTCCTCCTCGAAAAGAACCTCAGGGCTTAGAGGGGCTGCTGCCCTCCCCATATCACCCATTTATTGCCCATTTATCGAGGGGACTTATTCCTAGATCCAGGCGCAGGGAGGGAGTGGCTGCAGCAGGACACCAAGGTGGGGGGTTTGTTCAGTGCACCAGTGCCCACCTGGCTTAGCACTTCTGACGGTGCAGAGGGGAGTGTTCACCTGCCCAGTCTGTGTGCACGAACACCAGTCCAAGGGACTTGCCTCCCATACCGACCTTCTGTGTCTGGTGTCGGCGAAGGATTGAAGGGGAGCTGAGCCCCAAGTGTGTAGAGGTCAGAAGCTGGGCCCCCATGTGGCTAGAGGTTGAGAGATGGGGCCCCAGGTAGGCAGAGGTTGGGCATTCTCCCCAGCCCCACACCCTGGTCTTGTTTGATCTTGCTGCCACCACAGCCTGGCTTTGTCCTATGACTGTCCAAGCAGGGGGTTGAGCTCCTGATGGACAGGGACCTTGCCCAGTGTCTCAGGGCTAAGAGTTTCTCCCTCGGCCTCTGCTTGCTGTCCCCACCTCATCCTGTCCCACTTCACAGGACAGCTCCCACTGTGTCCCCAGTATTTACTGAGTACGGTCCAGAAATTTGTCCAACAGAACCTGTCCACACGGATGCAGATGTAGGCAGTGTCCTGGCACAGGGGTGACAGTCTAAGTGAGGCTGAGAGGGCTGGATAATTCTCAGGTGTGGGGCTGTCCTGTGCATGGAGGATGCTGAACAGCACCCCTGGCCTCTGTCCACCAGATGCCAGCAGCACCCCAGCCCCAGTCTTGGTAATCAAAGCTGTTTCCAGACATCACAAATGTCTCCTGGGAGCAAAATCACTGTTTTCCACACAGGGAGCCTCAGGAGCTAATGGCCCACCGAGGGCCTCTCCTCCAGAGGGACAGGGACAACTCAGGACACACACCCTAGAGGGCCCAGAGGGGCCAGGGCTGAGGGAAGGCACAACTTCCCATCTCTGGGTTATCTCCCCACATATTTAAACCTGGGGATGGACTCAGGGCTGAAGGCAGGTATCCTGGGGAGGGAAGCCAGCTTTGCTTAGAAGAGGCACACTTCCTCCTGGAAATGCAGAAAATATACATGGTCCAGGACACCACTTCGTAACAAACCCATTTTAATTGATAGTGTACACAGAGGTCCAGGGCAAGGGACTGTGACTGGGTGAAGCCAGGCCACACACCTGCATACCCAAGGTAGCTGGTCTCGTCTGCACAGAGGGCTCAGGTGGGGGACAGAGGCAGGGTCAGAGCTGCTGCTTTGAGCACAGACACAGACAGGGGCCAAGGCTGGGTGCAAGTGTAGGTATGCAGAGCTAGGCTAGGACACGTACATCAGTGTGTTCATGTGTGTACATGTATATACCTGGGCACGATGTACCTACAGGAACCTTTGTGACTGATCTAAGGAGAGGGTCAGAGATTAGACACCCTCAGGAGAGGGGCACACTGCTGACTGCACTGAACGCCCAGAGCTAGTCTGCTTCTGCCACGCACAGACTTGCTGTGTGGCCTAAGGCAAGTTACTTACCCTCTCTGGGCCTCAGAGAGCCTCACTAGGTGACCACTAAGCTTCCCTGTGGCCCTAAACTTTACTATTTTTAAGGAGATTAAAATACAAAATATATTTATTAAGAGCTGATGACAAGGGCCTTTGGTTTACAGGATCGAAGCCCACCACGCCTGAGTCCACAGTGGTATCCAGCATAACCCAAATCCCAGGCACAAAAAAAAGACTCCCTAGGACTGTTCTGCCAGACCTCTCCCTGGCTCAAGTCTGGCCCCCGCTGCTCCTTCCATGCGAGTGTGGAAAGTGGGGCAGCAGGCCTGGGCAGAGGCCAGGGCTGGGAATTCTCTTTGTTTTCTAGCACACAGTGGACCCAGCACCCAGTAGGTGCTCAATAAATGCTTGAGGAACAAACACGGGAGAAGACAGCCTAGTTCTAGGGGGAGATCTGCCCTGAACTAGCTAGGGTGTGGGGTGGGGCTCGGGGCATGTCACCCTCCCCTCTAGGTCTCAGCTGTCTCCTCCATGAACTGGGGATGAAAGAAGGAAACAGCCCTGCCTGCCTGCCCCACGCTTGTGCAGCATCTGTAAACCGTGGAGCTCAGCACAGGGGTCAATGTCTAGCTGCTGACAGGCCATCAGGACCCTGTCTGGGACTGGGGAAGGAAGCTGTCCCCAGGGAGGCAGTGGATCTGAACTGGGCAGGGGCCCAGCCAAGGAGGGGTCACTAGGCTTTTACAGTACAATGATTTCCATTTCTACCGCTGTACACGACACAAAAACAGCGCAACAATAAAGCACAAGCATCGGGAACGCAGTTGGGAGAAGGACCTGGTCTAAGTGACACGGCCACCCACCCTTCAAACATGCCCCATGTCAGGGGCAGCGGAGGGTAGGGAAGAAACCTGTATGTGGGGGGAGGGGAGTAGAAACGGCTGCAACGGAGGGCAGGGGCTTCAGGATTGGGACGAGCGTTCTTCCAGCTGTCACCTAAACCCAGCTGGGTCTCACCCACCAGAGCGGAGACCTCTCCCATCTGGCTCTCAGGTGTTTTCATCCTGTGACTTGTTCCAGGAGGCTCTGTGGGAAGCAGGAGCCCTGGCCTCTCCGGCATCAGCATTTCTTCAACCCAGGGACAATAAAGCTCCCCTCTGGGTCTCGGCGTAGTTCCTGACGTCTCCCAAATTTGCCTCCTGTCCTACAGATAGGCGTCATCCCATGGAGTAGCTCAAACCACGGGAGAGCCACAGCCAAGAGGACTCTGAAGGAAATGGTGAGAAGGCAGATGAATGTAGAGGTCAGCCTCCGTCTGGTGCCAAAGTTCCTTGAACGACTCTGCCGCTGGGGCCTTGTCAGGGGATGCGGGCAGTGGGCATATGGGGCCACCTCCCTTAAGGCACTGCCCAAGCCCCGCCCCAGCGTCTCCGCTCACTGGATGGTACATTTGTCCCTCTCTCGGGCCTGGCCCTCCCGAAGGACCTTGGCCTTGATGTACTTGAGGTCGCTGTTGACGCTGGGGCGGCGGGCGAAAGGTGAGACCATGCCGTAGGCGTCCGCCTCCTTGATGCGGCGCATGCAGAAGGGCCTGGGGTGGAAGGCGTCCCCGTACTGCACGGAGATCTTGCGGTGCAGGGCGGGGCTCATCTCGTGCGGCAGCTTGGCCATGCTGAATAGCACGTAGAACATCTCGTCCACGTTTGTGTTCTTCTTGGCTGACACCTCGAAGTAGGCGCAGTTCTCGTCACCTGACACCAGCAGCTCGGCCTCCGTGGTGGGCACCTGGCGGCAGAGCTCGCTGTGGTCATTCTTGTTGCCGCAGATGACCATGGGCAGCTCTGCCGCCTCCTTCGTCTTATTCTTCAGGCAGGACTTGACCTCCAGGATCTGCTTCTGCAGGCGCTTGACCTCGTCGAAGGACTCCCGGTTATCCAGGCTGAACACCAGGATGAAGACGTCGCCTGTGGGGAGAGAGTCCCAGGTGGTGAGCTCACCTGCTGGCTCGGACCTCACTCCCAGCTCTCTGGCCACAGACCAATTGTCCGGACAGCTGACATTTACCGACACACCTGGCCTGTCACCTGGCATGACTGACTTAACCCTCATGGCCACTCTCTGGGTAGCTGCTCTGATTTCCTGGGGCAGGAAACCGAGGCTCAGAGGGGCTAAATCCCCTGTCCAGAGCGCAGAGCTAACATGTGGCCCCACCTGGTTCAAACACGGCCACCTCACTGCACGTTTCCTTGCAGGAGTGAAGAGGGTGTGGGTAACTCAAGTGGACTGTGTCTGGATGATGACAAGGGCAATTCCCACGACAGCAGGGTCTCTCCTGACCTGTTCTCCAAGCACAGTTGTGTCCCACCTCTTCCACTTACCAGCCATGTCACCCTGAGTGGGTCAGGCAACCTCTCTAACCCATTTCCACCCCACCCCCCCCCGTCCTACGCGCATGTAACACTCCTTCCAGGACTGTTTTGATTTGTGTGAGGTAAGGAATGGAGTGTGACACACATTTAGCCACCTTGGGTGTCTACAATAACAATGAGAACAAGGACCCAGGGTGGTGCCTGTGGCTCAGAGAGTGGGGCACCAGCCCCATACGCTGGAGGTGATGGGTTCAAACCCAGCCCCAGCCAAAAACTGCCAAAAAAAAAAGAACAAGGACCCACTGAGAGATGGGCATGCCTCATGTGCTCTGGGCCTGAAGTCCCCTGGACTCCTCTCAACACTTCCCTCAGAGAGATTTCATTGCCTTCATGTTCTAGGTGAGTAAACTGAGGCTCAGGGAGGGCGAACAACCTGCCCACAGCTTAAACATGAGCTTCAACCCAATTCAGCTCTCACCCAGCCCCTTCCCTGCACCCAGGAGGAACTCTCTCCATCCTGAATAAAATCCTGGGATGAATACGTGAACGCTGGCCTCTGAGGCCCACTCTATCTCTGCCATAGCTCACTGCACTCAAGGCAGGTGCTGAATCTGAAACAGAAACAGACGTGGAGCAGGCAGGGTGGCGGGGAGGCTGTCTGCACTGGGGCCTCCATCCCAATTCCTGATCTTACTACAAAGATCACGGTCTCATTCTCAAAGCTCCTTCTGCACTTTTGCTTAAACTATTAATAATTCGGTGCTGTTGACACAGATCCCTGCTTCACAGATGAGAAAACTGAGGCCCAGAGGAGTTAGCAACTGGCCCAAGTTCTTAAGAGGAGAGTTGGGCAATTCCAGCTTCTGGTGGGACTACCTCCTCCTTCCTCTGGACCCCCAGAGCACACTATGCACCCCGTCCCCAAGAGCATGTACCACCCTCACAACAGCCTTCAGGAAAAGTGTGTGAGCTCTGGAGCAGGGGAGAATGCCATCACCCACTTATCCCTGTCCCCTGGGGCCTGGCACACAGTGGGTGCTCGCTGAGTCTGCTGAAAGGATGGGAGGAGGTGGAGTGAGCTGTGGCTATCTCGAAAGGCACTTTAAAGGCAGCTTCAGCCTGGCAACTGTCCCCACTTGGGCTGCCAAATGCCATCCCGTTAGGCTAATGCTGGGCCCCTGAGGATTCGGTGGCCTTGACATATTCAAATGCTGGACTGCGATGCCAAGCATCAGAGACCGGCTGGCAGCTGGAAGAAGAGCTGGCAGAGGAATTAATGGTTCTCAGAATCTCCTGCGCAGTAGCACCAAGCTGGAAAATGAGGTGCGGGCTGGTGAGTGCAGAAAGCAAGCGGCAGACGGATGTGCTCAGAATGCGACCCGCACCTCAAGAGACACAAAAATCCTTTGCACTGTGGGGGCACAGATACGAATGCCAAGGTGCTCATGGGGTTCTAGAAGAGTCCACACCAAACTGGTGGGGTGGCCACCCCTGGGGAGGGGCAGGAGCCCCGGACTGTGGACAAGGGTCAAAGAGAGTTGGCCTTATCTGTGGTGTTTGCAGAAGGGTGTGTTCATGTATCATTTGTGTAACCAAAGATGAGTGTGGAAAATACACGTGCTCCCTCTCCACGTCCCCCCCCCCCGCCACTAGTCTTGCTCACATCAGTGGGCACTCAGCCCCCTCTCCAAGGCTGGGAGACCTCACAGACACTCTGGGGGGGAATAAAGTTCTGCTGGCTGTGTGGCCAGGGAGGCTGACTCTGGTCACTCATCTAAGCCACCAAGTGGTGGAGCCACATTTGAACCCAGGTTGGCCCACAGCTCTTCTGTCTACACACTCTCTCTGGTGTGAGGGTTGGGAGTGACGGTCCTATCTGAGTCAGATGGTCAGCGAGGATAGCCCGGAAGAGACAGCCACCTGCCAGAGTGCTCAGGCTGGGCATGGCATGGGTTTCCTGGTGTAGGGGTGTCTCAATTTGGGGGGCTGTTTTAAAGATGCTACATGGTCACTTGTCCCTATCGCTGCCTGTGCAGCCCAAAGCAGGCAGACCATAAATGCTGACTCAAGGTAAGACTGATTCTCTGTGCTCTAACCGTCTGCTGACCAAGCACTTTACATACATGAACTCACTCAATGCTTATGATGCCCTCTGAGATGGGCGATCATGTGATGCCAATTCTGCAGATGAGGAAACTGAGGCACAAAGATATAGAGTTATTTGCCTCAAGTAACAGGAAGCAGCAGAACCAAGACTTGGACACTAGCAGACGGTCTCTGGGCCTGCTCTCTCAGATCCCACCCTGACCTGCCATAACCACGCAAATGATAACACAGCCCGTGTCTCTATGTGTCCCTCGTCTCTATGTGTCCCTCACTCCCCACAATCTTCCTTGTCTTCCCATGGCTCCTGCTGGAGCCAAGAGGCTGTGGGATCACTTCAATGGTAAAGTACCAGAGCCAGACTGCCACTGACCAGCTGTGTTGTTACCACCTGGAGTGAGTTACTCACCCCTCTGGGCCTCAGTTTCCCCACTTGTAGAACAGAGGCAAATTCCTACTCTCCTAGGTTAATTGTGGGAATTCTATAAATGCCTGCCAAGCTCTGAGGACAGGGCCAGGCCCACAGCTCCTAACAGGTGTTAGCACCGCCATCCTGTAACTGTCACTATTACCAGGCCCCTTCCCTTTGGCTGAGCACTGCCTGGGTCCTGCCCTCACCCACCTCTCTGAGAGGTGGCAAAGGCCTCGGGTGTCGGGAGCCCTGCACCCTGCAGAGTGACCCTGGGCCCTGGAGCACTTCTAGGTCACCACCCAGAGAAGGAAGGCAGCAGTATGGATCATCTTGTGCCTTGGAATGGAGTGTCCCCATCACACATTTGTGTCAGTGCCTGATCTAGAAGGCAGCCCTTGTGGTCATGGGCAGTCGACCCACAGTCGACCCACAGTCAAATAGAACAGAATGGGGGCCCTCCACAACATCACTACTTTGCAAGCGGCAGTGTGTCTGTCAGTCTCACCATGCGGGGGACCTGTGTGGGTGCCACTCAGACCGTGGCCGGACAAGAGTTCTGCAAAGTACAAAACGCCCCTACAAATGTACATGTGCCCATACCTCCCCGAGCCCACAGCCCCAGCCCGGGCACCTGTAAGGATGGACAGCCTGCGCATGGCTGGGAAGGGGTGGTTGCCGGAGGTGTCCAGGATGTCCAGCTGGTACATGTCACCGCGGATGTTGTACACCTTGCGGTGGAAGTCCTCGATGGTGGGCGTGTACTGGTCCTCGAAGCGGCCGTTAAGGAAACGAGAGACGATGGAGCTCTTGCCCACCCGAGAGGCGCCCAGCACCACCATGCGGTATGAGTTCTTGGCGGGCACACTGAAAGTGCAGTTCCCGCTGGACAAGGTCTTCATCATGGCTCGGGTCTGCGAGAAAAAGCAAGGGAGCAGGGCTCAGGAGACCCTCCACCCAGCGACCCCGCCTCCCCTGTTGGCCTCCCCTCTGAGGCCTGACTCGGTCTCAGTTTTCTGTCTATCAAATGGGAATGTCAGGTGAGGCTCCCTCTCAGGGGCCTGGAGTTCCACCCTGTTGTTAGGTCAGGTCTGCCTGTTTCTTCACGCCTTCCTTCATCCATGCGCTCACTCCCCCTCCCATCCATGTATCCCCTTGTTTATTCCTGCGCAGGACCCTCACTTTGCCACTAACTACCGATCTTGGCAAACAGCTTCACCTCTCTAGAGGTCACTTCTCATCCATAAAATGAGCCCAACTCACAACGTTGTTGCAAAGGGCTCAGCACACGGTGAGACTGCAGGAAGGTTAACTATTTTGAGAATTCATTCTTCCCTGGGTGTATCCATCCTCACCAACTCTGGCCTCCCAGAACCTGCTTCTGGGACAGGGAAGGCTAGCATGACACCGGCGGGGGTGGGGGTGGGTGCTACTGTGGCCATTCAGTCTTCCCAGGAAGTAAGGGAAGGCTGAGTCCAGACCACATGCTCTAAGCCTGACCCCCGGGGCTGCCCCTGTGCTCTGCCCCTGTACTCTCTCTCCCATAGAGGCCCAGCTGGCCTCTTACCTCTTGCCTAGAGGTTTTCCCCTCTCAGACCCTAAGAGATCACTTGCCCCTAGGAGTCCCACAGGCCTGGACTAGAGGATGTGGGACAGGGGAATAACCCACTGGTGACTCAAGCTTCCCTCACAACTCCAAGGACCAATGGTTCTGGGGAAAATCCAGAAACTTCTATGGGAGCCTCTTAACCTCATGAAAGAGGCTGCAATGGATCCAAGCTCTAAACCTCAAGCGGAGATAAGCAGACCTCCACAGGCTCCATCAGGCCCACCCCAAAGTCCATCACAGCCCAGCTCACCCTCCTTTCTCATCTCAGTACCCACCAGAATGCCCCAGAACCCCTGATCTGGTCACCCTAGTTAGTTTGAGCTCTACTGAGCTCCTGCCAGCCCTAGAACATCACCCTCCCCTACGTTGCAGGGTTTGGCTCAAGTGCCACCTCCTGTCTGAGGGCCTAATTCCCCAGAGGAGAGTTTTCCAGCCCTGGAACAGCAGGTGGACACAGGCCTGCAGCAATACCAATCCCCTCGGTCCTTGGCAGGCCACCACAGGTTGTGCAGGTTGGGAACTGCACAAGGTACCTGGCTGGGTGGGCGAGTGGGGGCTACATCCCAGAGGAAGGGGCACCTTTGTGCAGTTCAACTGCTCAGGGGAGGCATCATTTTTCAGTTCACACCAAGGGCTGTATGTGCTCAATATACAGCACCCCACTGGGTGCCCCACCTCTGGGTGCCCAAGTCAGTATCTCCTCCACTGACCCCAAAGCCCCCTCCAATCTCATAACTTTCTGTCATTATGTGGAGAGATTCTGACATGGCCACTTGAGGCAGAGAGATCTCCTGTGTATGAGTATCTGGCACGTGTCCGTATTTGCTCGCCTGCCCAACCGCGAGCTCCTGTACAATAAAGCTGCTCTCGAAAATACCCTTTTAAAAGGCCCTAATGGCAGTGTTTGTCAATTTCCATGGCTAAGTACGCCCACCTCAGCCAATTCCAAACTACCAGTGCGACCTCAATGAAAGAGCTGCGAAGAGAACACACACAGAGCCTGCTCAGCAGACCCTGACCCCTGGAGCCAGGATGACAACACTGGCATTGCCCACCCCACACTGTGTGCCAAGTACCTGCTAAGTGTGGAAATCAGCATTGCTGCCATTATTTTGCAGTTACAGCCTACTTCACCCCTTCCAGATCTCTGAAAGCAAGTGGTATTATCCCCTAATTTACAGATGAGGAAACTGAGGCAGGCACAAAGAGGTCAAATTACTTGACCGGTTACACAGTCAGTAACCTGCAAAGGTGCGATATGATCCCAGGTGGCCTGCCCTGTGCTATGGACACAGCACATCCAGCGAGGGCCCTAGTGCTCGAAAGCCTAAGTGATAATCTCCCACCCTACTCATGCCTAAAGCCACCTCCGTATTTATCCCACAGCACTGCCATACCATGTACAAGCAGGTGCTCAGTGAGTGACCCAAGAATGAATCAAATGGCAAATGGCTCTGCCTGTGGGCTCAGCAGAAGCCCCACTTTGGGATCTTTTCCCCTCAGCTCCTGCTAAGGTTCCCTGGGTGCATCTGTGGGTAGGCCGTGGGGAGAGGGGCTACCAGACCAACAGGGAGCCCTCTCAGCCTCCCTCAGGGCTGGTTGGGCCAGCCTGGGCCTTCAGCAGAGGTAGAGGAAGACAGCCCCTGCCCCAGTTTCCCATGCAGGGAGCCTGAACCTGCTGGTGGTCACCTGTCTAAACAGAGGAGAGGAAAGGAGCCGGCAGCCCCTAGAAACAGTGTTTGTGTCTGCCACTGCCTTGTGTCAGCTCTGGCCCAGAGCTCCTGGTACAGATGAGCTGATATTAATGACTGGAGGGGCTTCAGAGAGTCAGAGAAAGGAAGCAGAGAGAGGCAGGGAGTCAGAGAGAGGCTGCAGGGAATCTAAGAGGGGTGAAGAAGGAGAAAAAAGATCGTAGCTTTTACTCTGAGAGAAGATTGAGTTTTCACATGGCTCCAGCCACGTGGGGCTGTGTGAGACACCTAGACACCTGGAGGCCAGGTGACAGTGCTTCCGTAGGCTCCACCTCCCGCCCCCGCATCCTTCTTCCCTTCTCTGTCCACAGCCCTGTGGGCACCACATCGCCCCTCTGCTGCCAGCTCCGCTCCTCAGTCCTCAGCCAGGCTAATCCCCGCAGTGAGGAGCAGACAGAAGTCAGAGTTGAAGGGCCCCCTGGGAATTCAGAGTCCAACCCCAAAGGCCCAGACAGGTGGGGGTCAACAGGGATCACTAGCAGGGCAGGTACCTAAATGCCAGTACTGTGACTGCTGACCCCACCACAGAGACATTCTATGGGCAGCTGGGAGACCTTAAGTCCCCCTGGGGAAGAGAGGAGGCACAGCCATCTGGGAAAGCAATAACTACAGCCAACTGGGCACCCATCATGTCAACGACTTCGCTGCAGTCCTGTGAGGAGGGGGCCTGACTGATGGTGACTGGGACATTAAAGCTCTGAGACATTAAGTCACTTGCCCCACAACACACAGCAGGTAACTAACTGGGCTACAGATAGAACCAGGGTTGTTAGGCTCCAAAGCCTGCACACTTGCCTCTGTGAAAACCCACCCCCAGCCCGAATTGCAGTCCTTTTCAAAAGAGTGCCTGACTCAGTGAGGCCTCAGCTGGTGTCAGGCAGGGAATGGCCTCTGAGGCATGTTATATTCTCATTCCTTTTCTCTCTCTGGGGGAGGTGGGGTGGGATAGACACCCAGCCCAGGACTCTTCCCCCAGACCTGCCAACCAGCTCCCAGCGAGGGCACCTGTAGGTTCACCTTCTCTTTGGGCCTTTCCCCCAGGGCCTCCCTGGAAGATGCAGGGGACAGATGGGCAAGGACTGCAAGATAAGCATCTAGATGTGTCCTCCCTGTGTGTCCCCCATGCCTCCTCCATCAGTGCACACCACAGTCTCCTACCTCTAGCTTCCACACTGAGGGTGTCCAAGGGCATGGCAAAGCTCACCTCGCCACCCTCGGCAGCTCAGATGGTAGAAGGCCAGCAGGCACCAGCTTCCAGAAGCAACCTCCAGCAAGTGAGGGGGCCCACGAGGGCCAGGTGACTCCTCTATCCAATGGGCATGGTGGAAACAAACCCACTGCATGGCTCTGAAGCTTCGATGAGAAGTCCAGAGACTGACCGCAGCAAGCCTGAACAATGCTGGCTTCCTTTCTTTGTGGCACTTTCTCTTGGCAGCTGTGGGGCAGAACTGGAATGCAGGCAGAGGTCTCCAGAGAACCTCAGGCCAGCTTGTCTGACACCAGGGGAAGCCAGACTCATAGCTCCTGAGAGCAGTACCTACAGCCAACTGGGAAGAGGCCAGCCTCTTTCATGGACAACACCCTCTGCCATTCCCCCCAGGGCTAAAGGCAAGAGATGAAGAGGGCACAGAAGAGGCCCCCAGAGCTGTCTGGGGGCCCTCCAGCCATCTGAGTACAGGAAACCCTTCCTGGGAAGAAATCCCGGAACTTACTTTGCACCAACAAGAAAAACCTCAAGAATTCTAGATAAGAAAGGCATCACTTAATCTTCCTTTCTCAAGGGAAATCCTTGCCAGGGGTGGGGAGGATACCCACAGCTCCCCTCCCAGCACCCCTACATGCAGGTATGCAGACTGCAGCTAGCTGCAGGAGGTGGGGGAGAGTGTTTGGTGAAGGTAAGTGCCTTTTCCTTCCTGAGCCTCAATTTCCTCCAATCCAAATGCACTATTAGCCTAGCTTTGAAGGCAAAGCTCCTACCACCAAACCAGCAGTTAAATGTATCTTTCTTTCTTGGGATAAGTAGAGTCTAGCTCCCAGTATAGTAGGTGCTCAATGAATTCAATTTTCTCTAAGAATATATAGTGGCCAGATAACCCCAGCACATAGTAGGTCCTCTCTCTGGTGGTGTAAAGTATCCCTGAGCCTTCTTCCCCTAGCCTTACCCTCTCTTTCCCTCTGCCCCATTTCACCCAGCTCACCAGTTCTGTTGGGGTGTCTCCTACCTGGGAATGGCGGGCCTGGCCTCTGGCACGGCTGGGAGAGCTGCTTGGAAGAGCCTGGAGGTGCGGGGAACCTCCTGCTGCTCCGGTTGCCGAGCTGCCCCGAGTCTTCAACGGCTCCCGAGTCACTACGCAGGGATCTTCCTCTGCGCGGCTCGGGGCGCCAGGATGGGCGCGGCTAGGAGAGGAGGCACGCGGAGCTGGTGCCCCATGGGTGGGCTCCGAGGGCTCGGCGGGGCTCGGGCGACGGGCGGGCTCCGGCTCACCGCCGCCGGCCCTGCCCTGCCCCGAGCCGGAGGCCTCCGGCTGAGCCAGGTGCCCGGAAGCTTGGGGACGTTCGATCTGAGGGTCCCCGCCTGGGTGGGCGGTACGGGCGAGTCCAGGGATTACGGTGGGGCCCCTCGAGACTTTGGGGCAGTCCTTTAGAGGTAATTATGGGTGAGTGTCCGAGGTGGGCGAACCTGACCTGTCCGCCCCTGCTAACTCTCTCTCCCTGGTGCAAGGGGCTGCCGAGCTCGGCCTCGGCCTCCTCCTCTGCCCGCAGCTCTACTGCTCTCCCCACGCCAGAGGACGGTTCCTTTCTCCCCGGAAGGCGACGCCAGCAGCTGAAAGAGGAGCAGGGTGCTCAGTTCCGCGCGCGCGTGTGGGAGGGAGCCTTGAACGCCGCTCCAAGATTTCGCAGCTCCAAGTTAGCCCTAACCCGGCTCCTTCTCCCACTTCCACCTGTTCTTGTCGCCAGAGGAGAACTTTCTGCGGGAGCTTGACTCCTCCCTCCTTCCCCTTCTCGCAGGGTAATGCCCCTCTTTATCCCGGGGGGCGAGGTCTCTGGTCCCTCTGAAAAGTGGCCCGGGCCCAGGCTCCTGATGTAGGTGTCTGCGGCAGAAGCCCAGCTCAGGCGAAGATGAGCGTCGCTTCGTTCGTTCCTCTGCTCCAGCCTCGAGAAGCAGATCCCGCTACCCAGCGCCAGCGTCTGCCCTCCAGGAGCCTGCCCACCCTCCTTCGCCCGACGCCCCGCCCCACGCCGGCGTCCGGCCAATGGGCGGCGGGTCCCGCGGCCTGGCCCCGCCCCACCCCGCCCGCGCTTGCCGCAGTCTGAGGCTCCGCGTGTCCCGGCGCGTGGGGCTGGGGCAGCTAAGGAGCTACCAGAGGGGACGGGCTCGCACGCCGTGACCGGAAGGCGGCACGGGCCTCGGAGGCTGACGTCTGCGCACGCACTCACATGCACGCCTGCCTCGGCCACAGGTGACCCATGGGTCCGGACACCAGCCCACTCAGCCAGGGTCTCGGGCGGCTCGCGCCAGGCGGGGCCACAGCGCGCGCAACGGCCCCCGCGTCCTCCTGCTCCACGGAAATCCCCAGGTGCCCTCTCAGGTGTCCATCCTGCTAGCCCCGAGCAGCCGCCCCCTCCCGTGGTCTCGGTGACCGCAGGACCCCCACGGGCTGGCACATGGGTCGCGCACGTGTCTCCAGGAGGGACCAGAGTCACCTTGGCCTAGCGCGCTTGAGTGGAGGTCTTCGCGGCATGCGAATCTGAGAGAGTACTGGTGAGAGAGCCCTGCTGGGACTCACTGTGTGCCTTCAGCAGTGGCTCTCTTGCCAGCATGCCCCCCTACCTCGGTGCCTTTAAATGCAGGGCTTGACCAGAAGTTGGGGGCAGCATGAGCAGTGACAGTGCGGCTGCGCTTCCTCCATTCTGGGCAACAGAGGGAGACCCCATCTCTTAAAGAAATTACTTCAAATTTTGAAAGAATGAGGGGTTTGAACTAGGTCAGACATCAGGCTTTCTCACCGTGCCATATCTACATGCTGCTTATTAATATTTCCTTTAAATACAAGACTCACTTTCCCCACCCCTTAAACACATTTTATAAAGGAATTGTTATATCGCTGCCTTAAATGGGAAACCAGTATCACTTGCCATAAATAGAAGGTAAGACTTAAAATAAGCACAATGAAAACAAAGCAAGGTTATTACATTTTAGCTGGAAACTGGGGCCGGCCAAGGCTTGAGATATGCCCTCAGTGAAAAAGAGAGATAGGTGAGATTTGGAGAGGTGTTTAAACACCCATTAGTACCCCACAGAGACATTCTACTTCATGTGATCAGGAGGCTTAAAAGAGAATGTTCTCTTTATGTGATGAAAGAGTGGGTTCTGTATCTGAGTCCCTCACCCCCCGAACCTTGGACCTCAAGGATGCCCACCAAACTTACCCCCACCACAGACCCAGCCTTCCCACCTCATGACAGGCAGTGGGGGTCTGGGGGCACCAAGGTGAGGGTCTGGCTCCATTGGCTGAAATATTGGTGTTTGTCTCCTGCCCCTGTAACCACCCAAATATTTGATGCTAGTCCAGTCATGAAAAGTTTCTGGGCCTTGATTCTGTCATCTCTGAAATTGGTATGAGACCACTAGGTCCACAGAATGCCAGAGGACTAAAACAGCCGGGGACTTTTTTTTTTTTTTTTTTTTTGCAATTTTGGCAGGGGCTGGGCTGAACCCACCACATGGGGCCAGCACCCTACTCCTTTGAGCCTCAGGCACCGCCCAACAGCCTGGGACTTTGAGTATGGAAAGTGGCTTGCACTGCTTGTCCCTGTACCATCTGGAGGTTCTCCAGGGAAGTTAAGCAGAGAAGATGGGGCAGGTGTTGGATGCCCCAGTCTAGGCCTAGAGGGGATAGAAGACATGCCCAAGGTCACTCAATGGCAAGCGGCAGGATCCCAGCCCAGTGCTCTTTCCACATTCAGACTTTGCTTCTAATAACTTGCTTCAGCCTGGGAGACTTTGTTCTCGGTTTGACACACAGAGTCTGTGGGTCTTGAACTGGCCATGAATTTGGCAGCAGGAGGAGGGCAGGGTGGCAGGCTTCACCTGGAAGGCTGGGGTCAGGAGGACTTGGGCCACAGGGCTAACCTCCCCACCCCCATCACAGCCCTGTGGCAGGCAGCCCAGGAGCCCATTACGCACTGCTTTAGCAGAGCTCTTCAACCTGAGTGGGTCACGCCCCACTGACCACATCCCCATCGTCAGAGGAGCTGAGAGGCCCTGAGAGACCTACTTGCCCTTGCCTGCTCCTCCCCTCCCCCATCACTAAGACAAAATGGCTCCGTCAATAAACAGGTGCACATAGGGACGGATACCCAAGGAAGCTTCACGTGGCAACAGTACACCTCTCACGTGCACCTATTTCCCATCCTCCCCCCTTCCTGTATCCCATTTGTCTCTGCCTCCCACCTGGACCCCTTTTTGTAGCTGCCTCCTCCCTCACTAGGCTCCTTGTCAACCCTCTCCCCTATACAACACAATCATTTGGATCTTTTTCTAAAAGCAAAATCCCCTGCTCAATAATTTTCAGGGGCTCCCCGTTGCTTAAGATATAAAATATAAATTCCTTGGCTGGCATACAAAACCTCTAACCAGGATCTGTCTCCTATCATGTCCTGCTCCCAGCCTGCATTTCTGCCGAATGAAACCACTTCCAGGTCCCTCGAGAACCCCAACTTTCCCTCCTCCGGGCTTTGAGTATGCTGGTCTCTTATCTGAGATACCCCCTTCTCTGTATTGACCCAGCAAATTCCTATACATTTTTCAAAGCATAATGTCCACAGCTCCCTCCCCCACAAAATTTTTCTCCCCCTTTTTTTTTTCTGAGGCAGAGTCTCTGTTGCCCTCAGTAGGGTGCTGTGGCATCATCATAGCTCATAGAAACTTCAAAATCCTGGGCTCAAGTGATTCTCTTACCTCGGCCTACTAAGTAGCTGGGGCTACAGGCACCCATCATGATGCCTGGTTAATTTTTCCTATTTTTAGTAGAGTTGGAGTCTCACTCTTGCTTTGGCTGGTCTCAAACTCTTGAGCTCAAGCAATCCACCTGCTTTGGCTTCCCAGAGTGCTAAGATTACAGCTGTAAGCCACAGAGCCCAGCCTCTCCTTGCCTTTCTCATGGTGTGGATTTCATCCCCTTCTGGGCTCCCACAGCACCAAAGCCCGGCTCTTTGAGCCTCAGTTTCTTTGCCTATAAAGTGGGTGTTGCAATAGTAGCTGCCTCATGGCAGTGGCCTTCATCAGGATTGCTTCTCTAAACACCCCGTCTCATGTTTTGGACACATGCCTCCTCACCCCCATCGGCATGTGAGCGCCTTTAAGTGGGGACCGAGCCTGATTCATCTTTGTATTCCCACATCATTAAGGGTAGCGTCTCGTACATTGCAAGTTTTTAATAAATGCTTATTGAATTGTGCTCAACTGAAAAGCCTCAGAGCAGAAGAAATGCACAAGCTCTCCTTGGAGACAGAGAGGGGGGAGGCAGACGAAGCAAGGCAGAGTTTCATTTAGTCCTAACAGCCCCACTTACAGGAGGGGAAACTGAGGCTGGGGAGGCTGTTTGAAGCCAGGCAGCTAATGAGAGGCTGAAAAAAAACCCTATTATATGCCAGGGTGCTGTTCTAGAACAATGGTTCCTAACTTGGGCAGCATGTTAGAATCACCTGGGGAGCTTTCAAAAGATGACGAAGCCTAGGCTCCCGGCTCAGAGAAGCTGATGTAATTGCTCTAGGACTGGGCTTCACGCTAAATAATTCCAATCTGCAGTCAGGGTTGCAGAACTGTGGTTCTCAAAGTGTGGTCTCTAGACCAGCAGCAGCAGCTGCATCTGGGGCTTGTTAGAAATGCAGAATCTCGATCCCGCCCAGACCCACTGCATCTGAAGGTCTGGGATTGGGACCCAGCTATCTGGTCTGATCCAGTGCTCCTGGTGATTCTAATGCATACCAAAGTTTGGGAACCACTGGCCAGGTTAGAGTGGGCAATACCTTAGAGGTCATGAGGTCCAATCTTCCCAAAGAGATGGTTTGTGGTTGGATCAAGTTCAATGCTTGGTCCAGAACCAAGCTAGACCCAGAACCTAGGTCTTGACCCCTGCCTAGCACAATCCTCTTTCCTACTTAATGCACCATCCAGGACTATAGAGCCCCTAACTGGGACTCTGGCCTTGGCAGGGCCAGGCATCTGAGTTAGCGTTGAACTTCCACAGAGGTCAACGGGTCACCAGCTGCACAAGCTTATCTGTATTAGGGCACTGGGTCAGGTACCAGCCAATGCAG